ATGATTTTATCAATAGAAAAGCTTAAAGACTCCATGAAGGCTATGAGAACTGATAATTGGATTTAGTAAATTTCAGGATACAAAATCAGCAATTTTATATACCAGTAACAAACTTGCTGAGCAATCATGAAAGCAGCCCTGTTCACAGCAGCTTAAAAAAAATTACTAGGTCTCCGGTTCCTCAAAAAAAAAAAAAAAAAAAGTTACTAGGAATAAAACTCACCAAGAATGAAAAATCTAGATGGGGTGTGGTGGCACACTTCTATAATCCCAGCACTGGGAAGGCTGAAAACAAGGATCACTAGAAGTCCAAGCTACATAGTGAGACACTGTACCAAAAATGTTTAAAAAAAAAAAAGAAAGAAAAATCTACAATGAAAATTATAAAATACTAATGTAAGAAACTGAAGAAGTTCGATCCCTGGTACCGCCAAAAAAAAAAAAAAAAAAAAAAGAAAAAAAAAACTGAAGAAGTTACACACAGAAAAGCCCCTATATTTTCATGGATTTTAGGTAAGGTTAAAATGCCCATACTTAAAGCTGGGTGTGGTGTCACACACCTGTAATCTCAGCACTCAGAAGGTAGAAGCAAGAGGATCACCAAGAGGCCAGCCTAAACTGCATAACGAGACCTTGTCTCAAAAAATAAATAAAAAATCCATACTATCTAAAGCAATTCATAAAATCAGTGTAATCCCCATCAAGATTCCAATGACCTTTTTGACAAAAGTAGAAAAACAATCACAAAATTGAGAAGGAAATACCCAAACTCCAAATAACCAGAGCGACCTTGAGCACATAAAAACCTGAAGGGATCAAAATACTTAATTCAAGACATAGAGGTATAGTAACCTAAACACTACAGTCCCCAAAATAAACCCATGCACCCACATTTAGCTCGTCCTTGATGGTGCTGAAAATGCTGGAGAAAGGCCAATCTCTTACTCCCTATGGTGCGGAGAAAACTGAGTATGTGCAAAAGATGATAATTTGACCGCTATCCACTGCCCTATATAGAAGTCAACTCCAAATGGATCAAGGATCTAAATATAAAACTTGGCACTGAAACTACTAAAGCAAAATGGGAACCATGTCAGTTCATTTACAGGCAACTTTTCTTGATAGGACCCATAAGCACAGGAAACTACAGATAGTCTTACATCAGAAAATACTACATAGAAAACAGAATGAAGAGACAGTTTACAAAATGAGAGAAATACTTGGAAAGTATTGATCTGATAGAAGGTGACTATCCAAAATACGTACTGTATGAAGAATTCAAAAATGTAAACCAAATCCCGTTTTAAAATGGATAAGTGATCTGAATAGATAAATTCTCAAATACAAATGGCCGCAAGTACTTGGAAAGATGCTGAATATCATTAGTTACCAGGGAAATGCAAACAAGTAGAGAGTAAGTGAAATTACCATCTCATTGCAGATAGAATGACTCTTTAAAAGGGTAGAAGGCATGTGGAGAGAGTGTACTCAATACTGTTAGTAGAAGTTAGCATGGCAAATACAGAAAACAGCATGGAGGTTCCTAAAAAAAAAATCATGTCCAAAAGCCCCCTTGTGAATATATATCCAAAGGAAATGAAGTCGCTACACATTGCCAAAGAAATACCTGAACTCTCAAGTGTATCAAAACAGTATTCACAGCAGCCAAGGTACAGAATCAGCCCAGGTGCCCATTGGTGGATGAGTGGAAAATGTGGGCATAAGTGGAATATTACTGTCACAGGGAGTGATGGAATCCTGTCATTTGTAACCAAAGTGGGTGAAACTGAAGGAAAATAGGTGAAATAAGCCAAACAGGACATGTACTGGAGATTCTTACACATAGATGCAGGGGACAAGTCAATCTGAACGTGAAAACATGAGACCCAAAGGCTGGGGACAGAGAGTGGAGGGAGTTTAGAAAGGATGTGGATTGGGAACTGAACACAGAAGGAGTAAGTTCTGGTTCACAGCACGGGGTGACTAGTTCATGATCATCTGTGGTTTTATGAGGAGCTACAAGAGTAACTTTGGAGACTTCGGACATTAGATGATAAGGTTACAGGGGTGCTAATTACCCTGATGTGATAAGTACATGTGTACCCCAGAAACATGTACTGTTACGTGTGAATATTGTTAAAAGTTTAATGGAAAGGAAAGGATGGAGGAAGGGGGAGAGGTGAGGAAGACACAAGGCCTGTTTGGCCTTGAGGTAAATGTATAGAGCACTCTGTTCTGCGTGTCTGAAAAAGGGACCTCAACCAGAGAAAATCATCAACATAAAGATTATTAAACACTTAAATAAATAGAGTGTCTTTATTTAGGTGTGACTGTTAGAATGCTACAGATTCTTAGAATATCAAAAATAATTTCTCTTTTCCATGACCACTGTATTCAGGCTAACATTCTATTTCTGTTCGCACTTCCTGATTTAAGTGGGCTAGATTCTGTGACAAGAATCCATTTTCAAGTTATTCTAGTCAGACTGAGCTGTCTCTTAGTTCCAGCTGATAAATGCAGGACTTAATGGCCCAGAGCTCAGAAATTAAAAATCCATTATGCTTCCATTCCGTAAGTGGAGTCGGGTGTTAATCTAGTAGAGTGTGGTTTTCCATAACCATTTTCATATAAAATATACGGTGCTCCCATTTGTGCGTTTGATTCATCTTCGTAGTCATACATATTTTTCTTTACTTGCTGAAAACGGAAACCTAAAGAGAATGACATGATTAGAAAGATGCCAGGTGTAATAAAATATTCAACATGGCAGGTAAGATCTATCATTCAGGCTATTTAACTGAAACCATAAGTGTGCTGATTTTCTAGTTCATCCTTTCAATACTAAAAATCATTGTCTCTTTTTAAAAGATTGTAGCATGGGACTGAGTTTTTATAGAATAACTGTAATTTTGGGACAGTTACTTAAGTTCTCAAAGTTTTGATGACTATCCAAACTGGGAAAATAGTTGCACCCTGCATCATGTTTTGGTGAGAACTAGATGTCATGGTCTATATAATTTGGTATCTTATTTTTTTAAATTTATTTTATTGAGAAACAGCAATGAGACAGTTTTAAAGCCAATTAATAGGACAGTTTCAATAATTAATACATTGCACATTGTTGTCTTCATAGTGGTTATTAACAGTACAAGATGCAGACCTGATATCCTGTCCAAACACTATTAGTACAAATCTTTCTTCTCATTGAATTAAGAAAAGCAGTTGTACGTCTATCCTAACTATTCTATATATGGAATTTGATATCATATTTGGCATTTAGCAAGTACTTAAAATTAATGGCTAACAGCTCTCTGTTCACAAAGAAATACCTTTTCCTTCTTCTGAGCCAAAGCTTCCAGATCTGCTCTGGATTTGACCTCTGGCTTCATGAGGTGACATATATTCACCTCCAGTAGCCATATCTTCAGTGTATCACCCTCTTCACTGGCTTTAGTTATTCAGATCTCCACTAAAAATAATTTTCACAAGTTCTAATGCTCCTTCTAACAACCATCCTGTATCTTTTCTCAGTAGTCTTTAACTCAGTAATTTATATTATTGTTTCCTTTTTCTGCCTGTTATTCCTCTATATTCTTTGATCTATCACTGAGAGTCTGGTACACGTTGGGATTTCTGTACCAGACAACTCCCTGACCTTTCGTGAAGATGGGAAAACTGTGTTGTGGGCACATCAGTTCTATTAGTCCACTAAAGTGAAAACTCCGTGATGTGTTTTTAGGAATAGGTACAAAGCCAGTAAAATGGCATTCTAAGACTTCGGGGGAGAATGAAGCCTGTAACTGGGAAGTGAGGCCAGAGGCAGAGACCAGGAACAGCTCAGGAGCTCGCTGCAGTGGACTGCTGGGGAGGCGGTAAGGTCTGATCACACCTAAGATAGATTCCTAGCTAACATGCCTCATGACCCTGGCCCTCAGACTAACGAGCTGACTGAGCATGTCAGAATATCTTCATTTGCTCCTCTACAGTGCAGGTAACAGAACCTGTTTCAGTAGGTTGTGTTGAAAAGCAAATGAATTAATTTCACAAGATAGTATTCTACATTGTAATTGCTAAAGAAGAGTCTGTACTTTCGGTTGTCTAGAGAGTAAGGTGGAGGAGTATTGCTTTGAAGGCCACTGTAGATGCCTGTGGAAGATGACGGCATGTTCGGTTGGGATGGTGGCAGTAAGCTGGAAGTAAATGACTGGGTGGATGTTAATAGTAACTGCTGTTTGTGAAGTACGAATTATGTGCCAGGCAGTACTGTAAGTCTGATGCCTGCGTGCCTTTCTGTCCATCCACCCACTTACCTTACCACAACCTCTTTAAGTTAAGCAGTAGTGTTAGTATTTTACAAATGAGGAAACTGAACCTTTGGCTTGTCCACAGTCACCCAGTGAGCAAATAGCCAAAAATCAAACTAGGACTCCACAATCATAACCTCACTGCTCGATTGCCTCTCACATAAAGTAGCAAGGACAAAACTCAACACTCACATCACAGGAAAACCGTAGTTAAGTTTTGGCTAAGTGAGAATCATTGGTACTTCTGAGATGGGACATGCACTTCAGGGTGGTGGCTATCACTTTCAGAAAAGTGCTGTTAACCCTAAAAACACAGTAGTGGCACAGGGTCCTAAAAACAAATATTGTGAGGTTCGTACTTTTCCAAATAAAGTTTGCTCATTAAAAATTACTGCCAAAACCATGAGCTATGTAACACTTAAATTTTTCTCATTCAACCCTAAATAATATAGAATCATTACCAGGGAATTGTCTGTTGTCTACAATTGTCTGTTCCCAAATGACAGTTTTCTTTTTTTTTGGCGGAACCGGGGATTGAACTCAGACTCTTGCGCTTGCTAGGGAAGCGCTTATTCCACTGAGCCATCTCTCCGGCCCCCCAAATGACAGTTTTATGTGCAGATGTTAAAATGTCAGGTTCATTTAAACCTGTGTACTATACAGGGTACTAAAGTGTTGGCTGCTTAGAAATATTTACATACATGAAATGTATCATTTTGGTTCATGAGAATCTGCCTTAGAGTATTGCTTAAAAATTCACCCACCTTTGAAGTGAGCTGAGGAGTTGCTTGTAGCAATTTGCTTCCAGCTGGCCATGTACCTAAGCACATCATGTGGGCATTCAGTTAAAGTGACCTAGTAAGTAACGAGCTCATTTATTAGTACTTGTGGAGATGAAAGGTGTCACGTGGGGTAGTCTCAATGTTTAATGACTTTCCTGTCTTCTAGTGGTCAGCACAAGGGTTGGAGGAGGTACAAAACAGGGCCCACCTTCTTACCTTAGAGGACCCATTTATTTCCCTCCAGCCTGTGTCCTCATTTTATCCTATTTCATTCCTGCAAGATCCTCAGTTAATAGCTTCCAATTTTAAAGTATGGACAGAAAACTGTCAGGAGAGGTCAAGAGCCAGGTGTGGTGGTGCACGCCTATAATGCCAACACTTGGAAGGCTGAGGCAGGAGGATTCTCACAAGTTTGAGGCCAGCCTGGGCTATGTAATGAGTTCAAGACCAGCCTGAACGACATAGTGAGGCCCTGTCTTAAATGAATAAATAAATAGTCTCTGGAGAGCAGTCAGAGGCAGGACTTTTGGGAAATGGCTGAACCGAGGGGGTACACTATAGCTAACCTGCTCTTAGGCAGGCCTCAGGTGTTGCAGCACCTCCTGGCTGCTCTGCTTCCAGGTCCACCTTCCAGGAGCAGCTTTCCATGCCCGAGCCCCCTCTGGGCATGGGCTGAAACTGCAGAACTGCGAGAAAGACCTGCTTTTCTCAGCTGGGGGTGTGTGGCATTTTGTCCCAGCAAAAGGAAAGTGAGTAAGACATGCTGTCTTTCCAGGATCCAGAAAAGGAAACTCAAGAAGAGCAGGGGACACTGCAGCCCCACAAGAAGTGGCTGTAGGGAGTCCAGGACAGCTAGTGGGGGAATAGGGAAGGAGACAGGAGCTGTGACACTGGGTGTCCCATGACCGATTCTTCTAAGACTTCGTACCCTTCCTGAGATTCCTTTCAGTGGCCCCAATCAGGTAAGTTGGAAAAGTAGTTGGCAGAGAAAGAGTGAGGAGTATTAGAGTTCTCATGTAATTCAGAAAAAAAAAATTTATTTTCAAAATATTTATTCCGGTCCTGGGCCAGCTCAGAGCGAGCTGCTCCATGGTGCATCCTCTGAACTGCATCGTCACCGTGTCCCAGAACGTGGGTATCAGTAGGAACGCGAACTTGCCCTGGCCCCCGCTCAGGAATGAATTCAACTATTTCCAGAGAATGACCACAACCACCTCAGTGGAAGGTAAACAGAATCTGGTGGTAATGGGCAGGAAGCCCTGGTTCTCCATTCCTGAGAAGAATTGACCTTTGAAAGACAGACTTAATAAAATACTCAGTAGAGAACTCAAGGAACCTCCCCAAGGAGCTCACTTTCTTGCCCAAAGTCTGGATGATTCCCTGAAGCTTATTGAGCAGACAGAATTAGCCAGCAAGATGGACCTGGTGTGGGTTGTGGGTGGCAGAGCCGTTTACATGGATAGGCCAGGCCATGTAAAACTGTTTGTGACAAGGATCATGCAGGAATTTGAAAGTGACACATTTTTTCCAGAATTTGATTTGAAGAAATACAGGCTCCTCCCGAAATACCCAGGTGTGCTTTGTGAAGTCCAGGAGGAGAAAGGCATGAAGTACAAATTTGAAGTATATGAAAAGAATGATTAATATGAAGGTGTATTCTGATTATTCCAAGTTGTTTCTCTTCCTCCGAAACAAATTATGTGCTTATAAGTTAGGAAAAAAATAATTGTTCTGAATTTTGATCTCTGGAAACTTTTTCTGAACAGATGCCATTTGAGAGACCTTTAGGGGCCAAGAAGATA